CAATCCACTGAGCTACACCAGCCAGGGCAATATACAGTTTTTTATAAATAAATTCTGGTTTTGGGGGGTCCCCTATGTATATCTTGTCAGAATTATTCTATGCATGTTAAAAGACTAAAGAAACAGCAGCACAGATGACAGAGGACACTATTACAGAGGTATGCACCTTGCTTTAAAATATATATATGTATATATACATATATATATATATTTGAGATCATTCACATCAGCGCCTATTAATCTGCCTTACTCTTTTTAATAGTTACATAGTATTTAAACTTGTAGAAATACTGTAAAATTTTTCAACCAGTGCCCTGAAAAGGTACATATACACTGTTTTCAAGCTTCTGGCATTAAAATAACGCTGAAATCAACATCCTTATATATGAGTAAGATTACTTCCTAAAAGTAAACTTGCTGGATCAAAGGGCATGAGCATCTCTAATGCTGATAATTACTGCTACACTGGCCTCTAGAGAACTGTACCAACTGACACTCCCACCAGCAATGTGTGAGAAGCATGTTTTTGCAAATACTTTCACCATTTCTATTTACATTTAAATCTTTAGGTCGTTCAGAATGTTTCTCTAAAAAGCTGCTCCAACTTACTCACCAGAGACACAAATTAAATACTATTCCTCACCTGTCAAAAAGAAAAACACAGAAATCCCTAAAAGACTAAAACACATCAAACAAACTTATTACAGTAGACCTTTGAACAGCCTTACTATAGTTTAAACTGTGCAGATCCATTTAAAAATAAATAAATAAATGTAGGTACAGCCAGCATCTGAGGGTTTATTACCTGCAGATTCAACCAACCACGGATCAAAGACAGTATTATTTTCTGCAGATGTGGAGGGCTAAGGTTAATACGTGGATAAGACTGTGTGGGGGTCAAGTGCGGGTGTACACACACACATCAAGCTGGTAGTGTAACTGAGAACAATTACAGTATCTCATATTTCTTCAAAACACATTATTTTAACTATGTGTTGTCAGTTTCCTTTGAGTGGTATATACTAATAACAAAATGAACCACAAATAATTCTTAAGATGATTACACAAGTCTTACTGTTAATGTTATTGGCCCTAATGATTCAGGCTGGGTGTTGTCCCACAAAATGAGAGTCTCTGGTTTAATTCCCAGTCAGGGCATTTCCTGGGTTGTAGGTTTGGTCCTCAGCTGAGAGGCAACTGATCAGTGTTTCTCACATTAATGTTTCTTTCCCTCTCCTTCTCCCTCTGTTCCCCTCTCTCTAAATCAATAAAATCTAAAAAAAAAAAAGGAGACTTCTGCCAAGATGGCGGCATAGGTGGAGACGCCGTGCTTCCTCACACAACCAAGTTTAGAGACAACTAAATAATAACAACAGAAAACACACAGAAAATTGAACTTTTCGGAAGTCTGATAACGAATTCTTCAGCCTGACCACATCATAATCCAGCGACCTAAGTGGCCCTGCCCCGGTGAACAACCTAAGGCTCTGCTCGTCACCCAGCTGCATGAAACAGTAGAGGGGGCCGCCATTTCCCCGCTCTGACTCCTCCTCCACATACAGAGTCACAACCCAGCGACCTGGGAGTCTAAGGCTCTGCTCCTCAGACTTAATGGAAGCAAACAGACCAAAAATGGCGCAAGAAGATCTCAAAGCCCCAGAGCCTATAAATCTAAGTGATGAAGAAATAGCAAAACTCTCAGATGCACAGTTTAAAACACTGGTGATCAGGATCCTCACAGAACTGGTTGATTATAGCCACAAATTAGACAAATATATGAAGGCGAAACTAATGGAAATGAATGGAATTGCACAGGAAAGCAATAGCAAGGAAAAGGAAACTGGGACTCAAATCAATGGAGTGGACCAGAAGAAAGCAAATAATGGCCAAACAGAAAAGAGTCAAGAAGCAAGAATTCAAAAAAATGAGAGTCTTAGGAACCTTCAGGACATCTTTAAACGCTCCAACATCCGAATTATAGGGGTACCAGAAGGGGGAAAGGCACAGCCACCAGTGGAAAACTTATTTGAACAAATAATAAAGGAGAATTTCCCCAATCTGGCAAAGGAAATAGACTTCCAGGAAATCCAGGAAGCTCAGAGAGTCCCAAAGAAGTTGGACCCAAGAAGAAATACACCAAGGCACATCATAATTACATTAGCCAAAATTAAAATGAAGGAGAGAATCCTAGAAGCAACAAGTGCTAAGGGGACAGTCACCTACAAAGGAGTCCCCATCAGACTGTCAGCAGATTTCTCAAAAGAGACCTTACAGGCAAGAAGGGGCTGGAAAGAGGTATTCCAAGTCATGAAATCCAAAGACCTACAACCAAGATTGCTCTATCCAGCCAAACTTTCATTTAGAATGGAAGGACAGATAAAGTGCTTAAATTCAAGGAGCTCATCATCACCAAGCCCTTATTATATGAAATGTTAAAGGGACTTATCTAAGAAAAAGAAGTTAAAAAAACATGAACAGTGAAAGGACGACAAACTCACAGTTATTAACAACCACACTTAAAAGCAAACTAAAAGGACAGCTAGATCAGGAGTGGAAACAGAAATGAAGATCTCAAGGAGGATTAGCAACAGGGGAGTGGGAGGAGAAGGGGGGAGAAGGTACAGAAAATAAGTAGCATAGACAGTAGATAGAAAATAGATGGGGGGGCAAGAATAGTATGGGAAATATAGAATCTAAAGAACTTGAGACACATGGTCATAAACTAAAGGGGGGTAATGGTGGGGACGGGGGGTAGGGTGGAGGGGAATGAAGGGGGGAATAGAACAACTGTAACAGCATAATCAATAAAAAAATAAATTAAAAAAAATGACACTGATAGTCATTTTGAAATTGTGAGTACCAGGGTCAAACAAGTAATCAATCAAATAATACACTGACTTTTTTGTGTTTAAAAATACAAACCCCCCAAAATTATGTAATCCTGAATCTGAATTTGAAATATTAAAACCAGGAGTACTTGAAGAATAGTCAAGATATGTTGGAAATCTACTAAGTGGATTTGTTTTTGGTCAAAAACAATGCAGCTACATATCAAAGACTACTGGGGTCAGAATGAAAGGGTACAAGATTCAATTAGAAAGGGCTCCCACTGGTCAAAGATGGAAAATTTTGTGTACCAGAAGGAACAACTACAATGTGCTGAGGATCATAAAATCCTTATAAAAATTCAGAAGTTCATAAAGATCATCAACAACAGCAAAAACATCACTGGTCACCACTGGGGTTAACTATAGCATCAATGTCTTATTCTCCTGTCATTCGTATAGTTAGGACGTGTTCTTCTTCATAGAATTTCAGTTAATAAATGTAGAGGGAAAGATAGAATTAGAGTATCACCATTTTGCAGCCTAATAAAACAATAGGCAAGATGATGAATGGCTGTTAAAATTTTCAAATGAAAAGCTAATACAAAAATTAAAACCGACGTGTCAGACTAACAACATTTGAACCCAGTGATCCATATTAGCGAAAATTGATCACGATATCTAGGCAACCAGACACCACGTGCTCCTGATGTGATGCAACAGGCAATCACAGCATCACCTATGCAATATTCTGCCTAAACAACTGAACTTGAATACAACCAAGGCTCAGGACCCAACTACTCATTTACAAGGAAAATGGGACAGAGCACATGTTAAAGCAAAATGACATACTGATAATGCAAACTAATTCCAGAATGTGGGAAATTCTACATAACAAAATAATGTTTTTTTCAAAAGCATGAAAATAAAAGCAGCATCATATGTCCCTAAGTATGAGACGCACAAACCAAATGTAATGAATTGATTTTTGGTCCCTGATACAAAGTAATAAAGATAGTTTGGGCAATAAGGGCAATTTGAACATGAAATGATAGTGACTAATTACTAAATACTGTTGTTTAAGAGGAATAATGGCATTGTGGTTATCAATGCTAAAACTGTTTAAACACACACTGAGGTACTTTGGGTGAAATAACAGTTTACAATTTACTTTAAAACACAAGAGCAAAATGATGTTAACTATTGAAACTACATGGAGATTCATCATATTTTCTTTCCCTGTGTATACATTTAAAATTTAACATAAAAAGATTTTTAAAAATAGGGATAATGGCTATGTACTTAATAGGCCCATTTTGATGACTGAGGAAATGTATGTAAAGCACTTAGGAGAGGGCCTGGCCTAGAATCAATAATCAAGGTAAAGGTTATTACAATTACCCTCTTCCTCACATTCCTACAGCTGCTCTGGCTTAGGACTTCATCTCGCATTCACGTCACTGTAAGAGCCTTTTTGGTTAACTCATCTCAAAAAAATTTTTTTCCCTTCCAAAACCTTCCTCCACACATGCTTTACTACTTTTTTTTCTAGTAGTATGGCACTAGGTGCCCACTTACTGACAGGCACTGCAATGTGTCTTTTCAATCACTACCCTCAATCTTTACAGCCATCCTTCTGAGATGAGAAAAAGAATTTAAGTGATTTACCTACCCAGGGCCCTACAGCTACTGAGTCAAAGCCAAAACTGAACCCAAGTCTATCTGGTACCAAAATCTGCTTGGTTCACTAGGCTATACAACATCCTCTTTCTAAAAAAAAAAAAAAAGTTTATATATATATATATACATACATTTCTATTTTTAAAACTTTCACTAAGTTCCCAACCTAGGGTAAATTTCTTTTATGACCCAATGCAATCTGGACTCAATCAACCTTCTCAATCTGATTAACACCATTTATTAAATTTTTCATCCTTTGTCCATTCATGTACAAAATGGCTCTGTCTTATGTCGGGTTTCCAAACATACACTGGTTTACTTTCTTGGCTTTCTACTCTCTTCCACTGGTCTATAGTTATTATTCAAAAATCTGTATCTTCTGTTAATTTAGAGGTAATCCTAGTATCTGATAGAGGGTGATTAGTTAACACTTACTAATCAATTAATTAATGCTGGGAACCCATTCTGCCCATGCCACCCACGAGAAAGATGTACCTGAGAGAAACCCCGAGTGGAGCTGTAAGAACTGGTAATGGCGTTGCGGCTGGAGCTGGGAATGCCACCCGTGTACGTGCTCGTCATGGAGCTCACAGAAGAGGTGCGGGATCTCTTATTCAGGTAGTCATCTGAGCTCTGGGAAGTGAGACCTCTTTTCAGAGACCCAGGCCTAATAAAAGGGGAAAAGACAGTTAGTTGTGCTACTGAAGGCAACATTCTTTTAAGGCTTCATCATGGTTACAAAATCTTTCTTAAATAAACTCAATGAAAAAGGATATTTCTCTTTTTTTTTTTAGATTTTATTTATTTATCTTCAGAGGGGAAGGGAAGGAGAGAGGGAGAGAAATATCAATGTATGGTTGCCTCTCGTGCGTCCCCTGCTGGGAACTGGCCTGCAACCCAAGCATGTGCCCTGACTGGGAATCGAACCACAATTGTCTGGTTTGCAGGCCCACACTCAATCCACTGAGCTAGACCTGCCAGGGTGGATAATTCTCTTAATTTTGTTATCAGTTAACAGTATCTGACAAGAGAAAGCCAAATATTTTAAAAATTAAATGTAATTTAATTACATTTAATTTTTATATTTAAAAATTAAATATAATTCCATTCAAATAATATTCTAGAGAACACACACTAATCTCTAGCGACAGAATGCAGATACTGAATGCCTGGGGATGGGGATGGGGGCGGGACTGGAAGGAGACATTACTAAGGGATATCGGGAAACTTTTGGAGGTTATGGTTCTGTTCATTGTCTCGACTGTGGTGATGGTTTCACAGGTGTATACACATCAAAACTTATCAAACTGTATACTTTAAACAGTTTATTATATGTCAATTATTCCTCCATAAAGCTGTTAAAAAAATCAGTTAAGAAGAACCCACCATTTTTTCTAAGTGTCCAACTGAAACAGAAATTCCCTCTACAGCCTTCCTGTAGAGTAGTCACTAGTCAACCAACCTGTTACAATGTCCAATGGTGCTGAACCTCTTTGGCACCAGGAACCAGTTTTGTGAAAGACAATTTTACCATGGACAGGGTGTGGGGGGGTGGTTTCAGGATGATTCAAGTGCATTACATTCAAGCTCACCCCCTGCTGTGTGGCCTGGAGGTTGGGGACCCCTGGAGACAACTCACTACCTCCTGGAGTGATGAATGTCAAATGTGGACCAGTTTTTCCTTATACTGGATGAAAATGTATTTCCTCTTTCACCCATAGATCCTATTCGGTGCCATACTGAGCAAGTTGCTGTCCTTCTTTCATCTGACAGTCCTTCAGTTTTTTGCAGACCATTATCCTTCCCTCATGTCCTTATTGCTGCTGAGATTTTCGTCCTCTCCACTAGTACTTATATACCTTCAAAATCCCTTCACCCATCACCACCTCCCCTTAACATATCAGTTACTGCAGTCAAAATGATTTCAGTTTGTGTACATCCTTTTCTATAGTGTAGCACAGCGGACAACCAGAGCACTCCATGGACTATCTGAGAACCAAGGAAAGCAATACTGCCACTTACCTGCCTCATTCTAGCCTTTGTTCTGTCAGCACAGGACGAGAACACAGTGGCTTTTTCGTGGCCGTATTAAGCATATAAGTTGCCCCAAGTCTTTTCACACATATTCCTCTTTCCCTCTCATCCATTTCTTCCTCAAATGTATTTAAACTCAAATGTAGAAACTTATCACTTACCTTAAATTTTAGTGTTTTATTTTATCCTTTGTGCAAACTTTGTGATTTGTTCAAACACTTGGTTATTACAATATATTTACAAAACCTTTAAGCCTTAACATATTTTCCCCATTTTAATGAAAAATATTAAAAAGGATTATGAGTTATTAATATGTCACTCAAATGTTCCTCTCTGATTTTGAAGATTCAAACCTGTACAGACAAAGCAATGCAAAAAGCAAAGAGGAAAATCTATAGTACAGTAACTTCAACACTGCCCTTTCCCCAAATAGTTTATATCTTAACCAAATGGATTTTCACTTACTTCGGCACAAAAGAAGCAGGGACTCCATTGGCCACCAGGGGCTCAAATGCCGACTGCCCGCTCCCACTGCTATCATGCCGCCTGTGATAGATCAAAAAAACTCTCAATTAAATGAAATGGCTTTTCTCCCCTTAATGCATATTCTCATATCCCTGGGATCTATACTACTTCTATGAAGCACAGGTTCCTTGCTAGACAAGAAAAAGGCTGCTTCAAATCCCAGATTTCAAAAGGTAAATTTATTCTCAGATTGTCCTGGCAATAAGTATAAAAATGTAGTAGATCCTTGAATAACATCATTTTCTTTAATGTTGTTTTATTTATAATGTTGATGAAATGCCACATGAACTCAAATGTTGTTTCTATCAATTAGCCGCTGGGAAAATTGATTTCGTTTTTACGTTGTTGGTTTCCAAAATCCTAATGAAAACAATAAGTGAAGACTTACTATACATCAAGACCTTTTGAATTTATTTACTGTACCAATTATTACAGTCACAAATGTAACATCCTGCCATCCATAAATTAAATACAAACAGCCCTGGCTGGTGTAGCTCAGTGGACTGAGCACAGGCCTGCGAACCAAAAGATCGTGGTTGATTTCCAGTCAGGGCACATGCCTGGGTTGCAGGCCAGTTCCCAGCAGGGGCCAGTTCCCAGCAGGGGCCAGTTCCCAGCAGGGGCCAGTTCCCAGCAGGGGTGGCACAAGAAGCAACCATACATTGATATTTCTCTCCCTCTCTCCTTCCCTTCCCCTCTAAAGATAAATAAAAAATCTTAAATAAATAAATAAATAAAATTATTTTAAAAAAACCACAACACTTTAGGGACAAATCCACACATAGTGCTCTAGAAGTTAATATGGCAAGTCTGTTAAGCAAAAACTTCACATCTCACACATAAAAAGGGCCCATACACGGAGCACATAATCGCTGCTTATTTCAATTATGGGAACAATAACACAGAATCCTTAGTTACGGCCTCACTACTGTCAAGTGAAACTACCACCCTAAAGAACATGAAAAACCTACTTGGACCATAGTAGTTATTTCCTCTCCCACCTCCATACACCCTGACTCCTGCCACTCTAGCTTTAGCTCATTGACGTTAGCTCAAATTGCTCATTTGTAAATCACCTTTCTAGTCATCATAACCTGCCTTTCCTATGTTATATAAATATATCTACATTGATTAATACCTCCCTACTTAATTTGGTGTTTTTTAAAGATTTTATTTATTTATTTACTTTTAGAGAAAGGGGTAGGGAGGGAGAAAGAGTGTGAGAGAAACATCAGTGTGTGGTTGCCTCTCGTGTACTCACTCCTGAGGACCTGGTTTGCAACCCACGCATGTGCCCTGACTGGGAATTGAACTGGCAACCTTTCAGTTCTCAGGTCAGTGCTCAATCCACTGAGCCACACCAGCCAGGGCCCACTTAATTTTGTTATTTAAAGTATTAAAGATGGCCAACCCAGAACCAGTAGGACAGAACAATCTGGTCTAGGTAATGGGGACAATGATTCTATTTTTTAAGTGTGGGGTTCACTGTTTCCTCATAGAACACCTTTTTTAAAGGAGCCCCCTTCTAGCCCTGGCTGGTGTGGCTCAGTGGATTGAGCACGGGCCTGCGAACCAGACAATCGCGGTTCGATTCCCAGTCAGGGCACACGCCTGGGTTGCAGGCTGGTTCCCTGCAGGCCAGTCCCCAGCAGGGGACGCACAAAAGGCAACCATACATTGATGTTTCTCTCCCTCTCTCCTTCCCCCCCTTCCCCTCTAAAGATAAATAAATAAAATCTTTGAAAAAAAAAAAGAGCCCCCTTCTCATTACCCGCTGCCTTTACATCACCCTGTTTTTTTTTTTAATTCCTATATATTTACAATCTAAACCTTGTTATAATATCCTCCCCCTTTTTTGTTTCTCTCCCTCCAAGTCCCAAGAGGACTTTGTCTTGTTCACTGCTCTATCCACAGTACCTGGAATAGATTTTGGCACATTGTGGCTGCTCAATTTGTTGTATTAAAAAAATGAGTGGATGCCCTGGCCGGTGTGGCTTAGTGGATTGAGTGCCAGCCTGCGAACCAAAGATCACCGGTTCGATTCCCTGTCAGGGCACATGCCTGGGTTTCAGGCCAGGTCCCTGGTTGGGGCATGCAAGAGGCAACCGATTGATGTATCTCTCTCACACTGATGTTTCTCTCTCTTTTTCCCACCCTTCCTCTTTCTAAAAACAAATAAATAAAATCTTTTAAAAAAAATGAGTGGAATACTTAAGTAATTCCTTAGAAAGCCACAAGCAATCCTGCATTGTAATTAGTGACTTCATCTCCTTTCTTTCCATGCTCAGGAAACAGACTCCTTACTCCATTGTCATTAAGTTATTGAAAATCAATTAATGGAGCTGGTTTTACTCTCATTAGTGATAAGTGTACCACACTGTAGTCTACACTTTTATTTGCCAAGCATTCCCTTCAGCACAAGTATTACATTTAAACTGGTGGTTACCCAAATAACTAAACATCACAAGAATGGGAGGGAAAGCCTTTGAACATTCTTTCTCAAAAACAATTTAACCCATTTGTATCAAAAGTATGAGGCTGACATAACTAACAGTTGTTGGCTTTTCCCAATACTTATGGAAAAGGTAAATTATAACAATTAACTTGTGCCTAAGCCTGAAATGAACACAGCATGAAAACCTTTTTTACTAAGCTCTTCCATGAAAGCCAATGAAGGAGACCTACTAAGGCATACAAACTGAAGCTGCCCTCTGTATCTTTTGGGGGAGCAATCTGTATTTCAACAAATCACAGAGTACCAGGAGGCCTTTTTAGTGCTCTGCTGGGCCTGTTACCTTCTTTTATTTTCCTGTCCATCAGTGAGTACTTGTTCTTCCTCCTCCACTGTTCTTTTCTTCCTCTCTTTGAGGGCACTCAGTACAGTCTCCTTTGCACATGGGTCTGGAGCATTACTTGATGTTGAGGACAGTGTTGAGGTCATTAACTGCTCCTGTCTGCAATGGAAGTCAAGATTCTAGCATTAAGATATTTTAATTACTATGTCATACACCATAGACTTCAGAAGCTAACCAATAAGCAAAAATGTAATTTATACATTCACAGAAAATGCTCTTAGCAATTAAAGCTACAATCCAAGGTGAAAAACAAGAAAATAGACAGTTTAATGACTAAAATTTGGGATTTCTCATTTAAATAAGCAGGTATTTCTCCTTCTGCTTTATAATTGTCTTATCAGAGAATTAATGATAGAAGAATAAAGTGGACACAAAGAGGAGTCCATTCTTTCAACAATAATACTCACATTGGAGAACGAGTCAATTTGCTATCAGGAGGAGCAATCCTCACTGTCACTGGGCTGCACACCATTTTGGAATTATGAGGAGATAGGACAGCCTTCTTGTGATAACCATTCCAAGACACTGTGGGAAGTACCCCCAGAGAGGAATACTGGGCCTGCTGAATAGGGTATCGTCTTCGAGGTGTTATTAAAAACCGATTTGACAAAGTCCCACAATCCCTGTAGAGAATAGGACACATGTTAAGGAATGAAAAAAGCTGAAAAGAATGTCAGAAAATTTAACTGACTAAAGAACCATGTGGGTTCATGTATTTTTCCAGAGAGCTTAAACCTCTAAACAATACAGAACACAGAATTTTTATGGCAACTTCCACCTAAGGGCACAAAGTGGCAACTGCTTAAACAGCCATCCCTACAAAAGACATCAACAATTTCACAGAGAAATTGAAAACTTTGCACATACAAGGAAAACTACAATGGAAGAAAAGTGCGTTATGACATGCAAGGAGAAACTTTTCAAGAACCCTTCAATCTTTTCAGTAAGTCATCAGTAACATACACCCAGAATCAAATATTTTTCAACTCCTAAATGTCCATCTTCTCAACTAAATTTATTTATCAAGGACCTAATACTCTTACCAAATTTTTGTATTCTCACGTATCTCTCCATTATTGGGACTAACTGAAAATGTCTAATTTGATCATATTTATCAAGTTGTATCAATGGAAGACGTGTTTCCTGAGAACACCTCTTTGCGCTCAGCTACACAGATAAAATTTCTCACCGATCCAAAGAAAAAACATCTTTAAAAATACTATATGACTACACACGAAAAATAAAGACATTTTCACCCGAAGTAGGGGTATTTTAGTTTTAATAAGTGTTCTGCTAAATCTATACTGTACTAAAATTCAGACAGTTTTAACAACTGAAAGGAACAGCAGTGGCATCACCTCATTTCAAAGATTAAGGGGCGGGGGAGGAGACGGAAAATATGCACCAAAATATTTAAGAGGACAAAATGACACAGAAACCCTTTTGGACTTATAAAAAATCGGATTTAAAAGTTAAGCCCTCTATTCAAAGCCAGTCGACAGAGAGAGAAGGGTCCGGGAAAGATCAGCTTTATCCTACCTGTGGGAAGGCCTCCTGGAGGGTGCGAGCAGAGAAGCGGGGGGAGAGGGGTGAATGTGGTGAACGTGCTGGGCCGAATAAGCCAACAGCGTGGTGCGGGTGGGTGGGCGACCGCCAAGCCTCTCCCGCAGGTCTGTGGCCTCCGGAACCCGGGGGGTCTGCGGGGGGCCAGGCTTGCCCTGGTAACTGCCCACGAGGAGCAATTCAGCAGGGTCTGGTCCGCGGAGCAGGGTCCGTGGCTCGAGGAGATTTCCGTTTACTGCTGACTTGGCTGGAGACAAGGCAAGCAGTGTTCGCTGACGCCGCGCGTTCCGGACAAGCGAGAAGGCGCGCGAACCTCGGGGCTCGCGGCTCAGTCCCCACCAGGCCGCGGTAGCCCCCACGGCCAGCCAGGCCAGCGCAGCCGCCGCCGGCACTATATAGAGTACGAGGCCAAGCAGCGACAGACCGAGGAGCGCCGCGCAACCGCAACCCCAGCCCCGGCCCCGACCGTCCCTGACACTCGCTATAGGCCGCCGCCGTTCGCATCCTCCAGGCGCCGTAGCCGCCGGAGACATCGCGGCTCCGCGCCGCGGAGAAGACTTAAATATCCCAGCGTGCACAGCGCGGCGCGGCGCGGCACGTTACAGCGCGCGCCGGATGCGTCACTGCGTACGCGACTCAAACGCACGACCGCGAGAGGAAACGTCGAACAATGTGTTAGACCCGACCCAATTAGAAAAAAATGTGGCTTCCCTGAAAGCCGAGTTCCGATTCTCCGGCCGTCTTGGGCGCCTATTCACACAGCCCCCACCCAGAGGCAAGCCTGTGAAGAATCAGGTTAAAAGTCAGACCTTCAGGAAACGACTGTTCATGTCATACTTAATCCATCGTATCTTCCTTTGGGCTGAACTCTCCAGAAGAGCTTATCGGGCATTTTTCAAAATTGCTACCAGACTGTGTGAGATTTTCCCAGCTACCCTATTTCCTGCCGAAGTATAAACAGCTTAAGAGAACTTACTTTAACGGTAGTAGTGAAAAGGAAGACCAACCCAAACCCACCACCTTTGTTAAATGCGGGTCTACTTTTAATAAGTACCGATCAAAGAATCTAAAACTGAAGACCAAACCTGGACCTGTGATATGTTTGAGTTTTTGCAGTACAAGTTGGTAAAATGGGACGTTTATCTACCAAATTTTACGTCATGGTCCAGAATTGATTTTGAAGATATGTGATCAATTTACCTATGTTTTAACTTGATGGCCTGAGAAAGTTGTCTAGGGTTGGGGAGTATATTTCTGGTGATGGAATGGAGAGTGGCTTCTATAGTGTAGTTTTCTTTGGGGGAGAAACGAAATGTTTTAGAATTAATGCAGGTTGCTTCACAGCTCTGTGAGTTGTGTCTTAATAAAACTTAAACAACAACAAACTTGGTGGTCTGCCAATTCAGACTTTGGTCTAGCTCACCTTCCTCAGAAATTCATTTATTGCTTTGTTCATTCTATTATTGATATACATTAAAGACGTTTATGGAAAAAAGACAGGTTCTCTGATTTTAGAAGTACTCAGTTGATTAGGGAGAAATGATGTGTACCTAGAAAGTTAATATTCAGGCCCTGGCTGGGTAGCTGTTAGAACGTTATCCTGATACACCAACGTTGTGGGTTCGGTCCTCAGGTCAGGGCACATACAAGAAACCACCAATGAATACAAAAATAAGTGGAACAATTCATTGTGGTGTGATAATACAGGCATAAAAGAAGAGAAGAAATAATGAAGGGAAAGATGAGTGGGAGGTGCTAATTAAGCTGAGAAAAATGGTTAAATCATATTCAAGAAGAAGCAGCATGACCCAGAAGCACAGAGATGTGAAGGACTGTCATACAAGAGTCTCCAAATACAGTCAAACCTCTGTTCTCCATCATGTCCCATCTTGAACAATTCAGTTCTTGACCAAGTTTTTCGTGGACAAAACAATGGGCTCTTGAACAAAACTTCGATTCTTGCCCCGACAACACTTTCATGCTGAATCTGGTATGATCAGTCATGCATCTCTGAGGCGAAAAACAAAGGAGAGAATATGGGAGTATGAGTACAATTCAGTATTTGAACAAATCACTTTTCAAGCAGCCTTCCAGAACAAATTAAGATTGAGAGTCAAGGTTCTACAGTAGATCACTATGGCTGGAGTCTAGGATGTTTGGGGGAATAGGGATGTTGGAAAGATGATAGACAGGGCTCGGTAAAGATGCAGGTGGAGCAACTTGGAGAGATGAGAAAAGCAAGCAATATTCCTTCTCTCCAACTCACTGCCAGGGCAATTCTGCTTCTATCTATTTAAAGTGACTTACTTCACATAAGACTTTAAAAAAATACATTTTATTGATTATGCTATTACAGTTATCCCAATTTCCCTCCTTTGTCCCCTCCACCCAGTACCCCCATTCCCTCCAGTAATCTGTCCCCCTTAGTTCAAGTCATGGGTCATACATATACCATATTTTCCTGCATAAATGTGCTGTGTACAATGCACACCCATGTTTTCATGCATATTATACATGGGATTATTAAATCCATGGTATGGAATCATTATTCCCATGTATGATGCATGCCCATATCTTCCCCTCAAAAATTTGGGCAAAAAGTGCACATTATATATGGCAAACTATGGTAAGTCCTTTGGCTACTCCATTTCCTCTACTGTTCTTAACATCCCCCTGTCTGTTTTGTACCTACCAATTTGTACTTCTTAATCCCTGCATCTTTTCCCCATTTCCCCCTCCCCCCCAACTGATAACCCTCCAAATGATCTCCACATCTATGATTGTCTTCTTCTTCTACTTGTTTGCATAGTTTGTTTTTTAGATTCAATTGTTGATAGTTGTGAACTTGTTGCCATTTTAATGTTCATAGTTTGGATCTTTTTATTATATAATTCCCTTTAAAATTTCATATATTAATGGCTTGGTGATGATGTACTCCTTCAGTTTTACCTTCTCTGGGAAGCACTTTATCTGCCCTTCCATTCTAAATGATAGCTTTGCTGAAGAGAGTAATTTAGATTGTAGGTCCTTGCTTTTCATCACTTTGAATACCTCTTGCCAGCCCCTTCTTGCCTGCAAAGTTTCTTTTGAGAAATCAGCTGACAGTCTTATGGGAACTCCTTTGTAGATAACTATCTGCTATTATCTTGCTGCTTTTAAGATTCTCTCTTTATCTTTAACCTTTGGCATTTTAATTATGATGTGTCTTGGTGTGGTCCTCTTTGGGTTCATCTTATTTAGGATTCTCTGTGCTTCCTGGACTTGTACATCTATTTCCTTCACCATATTAGAGAAGTTTTCTTTCATTATTTTTCAGTTTCTTTCTCTTCCTTTTCTGCTGCAACCCCTATGATTTGGATGTTCGTACATTTGAAGGTGTCCCAGAAGCTTTTTAGCCTATCCTCTTTTTTTTTTAATTCTTTTTTTCTTATTCCTGTTCTGATTTAAAATGTCTTTCCTCCTTATGTTCCAAATCATTGATTTGATTCCTGGCTTCATCTCCTCCACTGTTGGTTCCCTGTAGATTTTTTATTTCATTTGATCTAACTATCATTTCTGCCTGGGTCTTTTTTATACCCTTGAAGTACCCAATGAGTTCCTTCAGCATCCTGATAAACAGTGTTTAGAAGTCTGTATCTGATAGGTTGCTTATCTCAATTTCATTTTGTTCTTTTTCTGGAGTTTTGTTCTTTCATTTGGGCCATATTTCTTTGTCTCCTCAATTTGCTGGCCTTCTGTGTTTGTTTCTGTTTATTAGTAGAGCACTTTGACTCCCTGTCTTAGTAGTGGCCTGTTGTAGCCACCTGTAAGTTGTATTGGACAGAGGCTTAGGTAATCACCAGGGCAGGGCAACCCATGTTTCAGCTCCGTTGCTCTGCATTAAAGAGGCCTTAGAGAGGGGGTGATGCTGTTGCCTGGCCTCCAGAGTTTTATGGAGGAAGAAGCTGTCTCCTGGCACTCACCCTGATGTCAGTCAGCATCTCCCTGTATGCTATTGGTTTCCTTCCAGCTGTTGCTCTGGTGCTAAATCCCAGAGGGAGTGGGTCTGCGTGAGTTCTAAATCCATTGTAGGCCCATTAAGAGGAGTCTCTTGAAGATCCTGCAGTTTCTTCCACCACCCCAACCCCCACTGGTTTTTACAGCCAGAAGTTATGGGGAATTATCTTCCTGGCACTGGAACCCTAAGCTGGGTGGTGTGGTCTGGGGCTAGGATTCCTCGCTCTGGAGGTATCCCTCCCAATTTTTATCTAAGACACATGGATGTAAGACTGTCCCATTCCATGCCTCTTCACATGTTTCTGCCCTTCCTACCCATCTGGGTGAATGTGGCTTCTTTAAATCCTTCGTTGTCAGACTTCTATACAGCTCAATTTTCTAATGATTCTGAGTGATTTTTGTTTTGTAGTCTAGTTAATTTTTTCTGTAGTTGTGTGAGGAGGTGAGGCATGTTTACCTACACCTCCATCTTGACTAGAAGTTCACATAAGACTTCTTGAAAAGAAAAGAAAAGAAAAGAAAAGAAAAGAAGAAAAGATCATCAGTATAGTGGAATAGTGCAACAAAAGTCAAGCTGCAGCAGGTTAAACAGTGAATGGAAGATGAGGAAATGGAGGCAGTGACTGCAGACTTCCCATTCAATATACTTGGATAAGAAGGAAAGAAGAAAGATAGTATCTAGCTCAGCTAGGGTCCTTTAAATTATCATATATTACTGGTGTTGAGAAGAGCTAGATGTAAAAGCCATCAATACACAGATGCCACAAGATTCAGTAAGATTACTTGGGAATTAATGTAAATAGAGAATTCTGAGGCCTGAGCTCTGGGGCACCTCTGTTTAGAGGTCAAAAAAATGGACACCAAAAAAGCACAAATAATTTAGTAAAACACAGATAAATATGACCACATTAAGTTGAACATGTCTGTATGGGAAGACAACATAGGCAGCTAAAAGACAAGCCAAGATTGGGGGGTGAAAGCGGGATCCACGTAACCAAAAAGCAACTAGTAAGTAGAATTTATAAAGAATTTCTAAGAATCAATGACAAAAAGATGACCCAACTGTACATATTTGTATATGTATGTGTGTGAATGTACATACACATATATACATATGTTTAACCTCCCCAGTAATCTAGGAAATGTTTATTGAGGTAACAAGATACCATTTTGCATTCACTTGCACAAATAGAAAAGTTCAACAGAGCAAATTTTGGCAAAGATGTGGAACAAATGGAACTCATGTACTGTTTGTGGATATGTAGAACAGTATGATTTGGAGAGCAATGTGGCAATATCTAATAAGGTAGAAGAAATACATATATCTTATAACCCTGCAATTCCATTTCTGGGTACCAAGATACTCATTAAAGCATCATTTGTATTAGTGACAATTTGAATACACCAAAATCTAATGTCTACCAACACAAAAATGGATGAAGAGGGGTATAATTCATATAATAAAATACTATTAAATATAATAAAAACATATAATAAAAATAGATTTTCCAGCCATGATTAAGAGATATCAGTTTAGTCTTCCTACCATAAACAACTAGAAAAATGGAAAATCTT